GTGTGCAGGAGGCAGCTGATTGATGTTTCTAACTCTCTATCCCTCTCCCTTCCTCTCTGTAAAAAATCAATAAAATATATCTTTTAAAAAAAATAATAAAGTAAAATGGAAAAAAATAAAAAATAAAAAATAAATAAACCCAGCCCTAGCTGGTTTGGCTCAGTGGATAAAGTGTTGGCCTGTGGACTCAAGGGTTCTACGCTTGATTCCGGTCAAGGGCTCATGCCCCGGTTGTGGGCTTGATCCCCAGTAGGGGATGGACAGGCAAGAGACAGCCAATTGATGTTGATGCACTGATGTTTCTATCTCCCTCTCCTGCATCTCTAAAATAAATAAAAACATATTTAAATAAATATGTGATATATGTGTCATACACACACACACACACACACACACACACACACATATCTATACAATGGAATGTACTCAGTAATAAAAAAGAATGAAATCTTGCCATTTGTGACAACATGGGATGGACCTAGAGCAGTGGTTCTCAACCTGTGGGTCGCGACCCCTTTGGAGTCGAATGACTCTTTCACAGGGGTCACCTAAGATCATTGGAAAACACATATATAATTACATATTGTTTTTGTGATTAATCACTATGCTTTAATTATGTTCAATTTGTAACAATGAAATTGGGGGTCACCACAACAGGAGGAACTGTATTAAAGGGTCGCAGGATTAGGTAGGTTGAGAACCAATGACCTAGAGAATATTATGCCAAGTAAAATAAAGTCAGTCAGAGAAAGACAAATATTGTATGATTTCACCTCATGTGGAATTTAAACAAAAAACAAACAAAACAAAAAACAGCCTCGCAGATTCAGTGAACAAACTGATAGTTGCCTGAGGCAAGAAGGGGTGGGAGGATGGATGAAAAAGGTGAAGGAAAATAAGGGCACAAAATTCCAGTTATACATTAAATAAGCTACAGAGATGTGGTGTACAGCACAGAGAATATAGCCGATAATACCATAACTTTGCATGATGACACGGTAAGGTATATAAGTACTGAAGCACTGTTGTACACATAAAACTAATATAACATTGTATGCCAACTATACTTTAATTAAAAAAAAATTAAATAATCAGTTCTCCTAAACATTAGATAACATCACTTAGAAAAATAATGTAGAGGACATACTAGTAAATTAGTGGTCCATGGACCCAACTGCTGATACACAGACATGTTTCATTTTTTTGTCTCCACGTTTAAAAACTTGTGCCAGAAGTTAAAATTAGTAGAGTTCACATTTAAAAAAATCTATATTCCAAGTTTTTCTTTAAAGAACTGAATGATCTGGCAACACTTGGCTTAAACAGTATAGCAGCTTTCCCATGTCTCTGAATCCCAGGCTGGAAATTCAGAAAGAAAACACCTAGTCTCATCATAATGAATTTTTAGAACCACAAACTCAAAGAGAAGACCTTAAAAGGAGCTACAAAAAATTAGATTACCTATAAAGAATCAACATGTAGACTAGCAGTGATTTTCAATAGCAACAATAGAAGCCAGAATATAATGAAAAACTATGTTAAAAATGATGATAAACTGCCAAACTAAAATTTTAGATCCAGTGAAAATATCTTCAAGATCAAGAGCAAAATAAAGACATTTTCAAAACAATGTTTATTATCAATGAGACCTCAAAAAATGAACTTCTAAAGTATGACCTTAAAGAAAACGACCCTAAAAAAAAGGTCTGGGGTATAAAGACAAACTAGGCCCTGGCTGACTTAGAGCATTGTTGTGATACACCAAGGTTGTGGGTTTGATTCCCGGTAAGGGCACATACAAGAATCAACCAGTGAATGCCTAAATAAGTGGAACAACAAATCGATGTTTCTTTCTCCCCTCTCCTCTTCTCTCTCTCTCTCTCTCTCTCTCTCTCTTTCTCTCTCCTCTTTAAATCTCTCTCAAAATCAATAATTTTTTTAAAAAGACAAACTAAAACTAAAAAAAGGTAAATTCTTTGGTAAGTCTAAACTACTGACTGTAAAACAAGAGCAAAAATAGTAACTAAACAAACGCACCAAAGTAAATGAAAGAGAAAGGGCAACAGAAATGGAAGCAAGGTGAACAAGGATGGATGGCTATTTCATAAAGTTTTTCAGTGGCAGCAATCAGAGAAATGGAATCACCTCAAGGGAGAGGTGGCATCGAGCGTAAATTAATACATATCAAGAGCCAAAATGAAGTGAGTTTTGTATTATTTGCCACTTGAACTTTTCCATGCCTCTGCTGTAATTAAACCCTATTATTATTATTATTATTTAAATATATTTTATTGATTTTTTACAGAGAGGAAGGGAGAGGGACAGAGAGTTAGAAACATCGATGAGAGAGAAACATCGAGGAGCTGCCTCCTGCATCCCCCCCGACTGGGGATGTGCTCAAAACCAAGGTAAATGCCCCTGACTGGAATCAAATCTGGGACCCTTCAGTCCGCAGGCCGACGCTCTCTCCACTGAGCCAAACCGGTTAGGGCAAACCCTATTATTATTAAGTCAATGACTGTTAGTAACTATTCACTTCAGAATACCCGGTTGTTGCTATGCTTATACTTCATTTAGTTAGAATAATCAAGGTAATTTGACAAATGTGAATTTTCCTAATCTACTAAAGCTCACTGTTTACTAATGTTTTCTTCTACTGTTGGTGTAAATATTTCTAAAAGGATATCATTTCTTATATAAAACTAGAGGCCCGGTGCACAAAAATTTGTGCAATCGGGCCGGGGGGGTCCCTCAGCCCAGCCTGTGCCCTCTCACAGTCTGGAACCCCTCGGGGGATGTCCACCTGACAGCTGGCAATCAGACATCCCTCTGACAGCCCGGGAGCCCTCGGGGTATGTCCACTTGCTGGCAGGGAGCAGGCCTAAGTTGCAGTTGCACATCCTTAGTATTGCTGAGGAGGGAGGAGAGGCTCCCACCACCACCACTGTGCTGGCAACCATCAGCCTGGCTTGTGGCTGAGGAGAGCTCCCCCTGTGGGAGCGCACTGACCACCAGGGGGGAGCTCCTGCAGTGAGCATCTGCCCCCTGGTGGTCAGTGTGTGTCATAGTGACGAGTCATTCCCAGTTGTTCTGCTGTTAGAGCAGCACCTCCTTGAGCGGAGGACAGGGCGGGCTGGAAGCAGGTATCTGGGATTTATTTATCTTCTATAATTGAAACTTTGTAGCCTTGAGCAGACCCCGGGGCCACCACAGCAGGTGGGAAGCTTGGCTTCCTCCATTGCCGGGGGCAACCCAAACCTCCTGCTCACTCCAGCTCCGTGGCTGTCACCATCTTAGTTGGGTTAATTTGCATACTCACTCCTGATTGGCTGGTGGGTGTAGCAGAGTGGCGGCGTGATGGTTAATTTGCATTTTCTCTTTTATTAGTGTAGATAAAAGTGCCTAATTCTGTCTTTCTTTTATTTATTGATGTTTTTAGAGAGAGAGAAACATCAATTTGTTGTTCCACTTATTTATGCATTCATTGGTTGATTCTTGTATGTGCCCTGACCAGGGAATCAAACTTGCAACCTTGGTGTATCGGGATAATGCTCTTACCAACCCAGCTATCCAGCAGGGTCTCCAATTCCTTCTTGATGGCCCAAGGTCATTTGTATAAATTACTACTGTTGATGATAAAAGAAATACCCTCAGTAGCTAAGGTGTAGGACGTGTGACTACTAAAATATCCCCACACTGTCAGGTGTTCTCTTTTTGGTCATCATTGTATTGACATCTAGTAAGCACTCCTATCAACCTTGATCTGATTTTGTGGCAACTATTCTGCTTAAAGCTTCTTTTGATTACATTTTCTGGTTCCTGGCTATATTCTAGATATCCAGAAAACAAATATCAGAGATTCTTGGTAAGGTATAACATTGAATTAGTAAGATGATACTTCTGAGTAATTTATATTTTTGTAATATCTTCCGTTTCAAGATTAAAGTTCACTCTGTGGCCGAACCGGTTTGGTTCAGTGGATAGAGCGTCGGCCTGCAGACTTAAGGGTCCCAGGTTCGATTCCGGTCAGGGGCATGTACCTTGGTTGCGGGCACATCCCCACTGGGGGGCGTGCAGGAGGTAGCTGGTCGATCTCTCTCATCGATGTTTCTAGCTCTCTATCCCTCTCCCTTCTTCTCTGTAAAAAATCAATAAAATATATATATATTTTAAAATAAATAAATAAAGTTCACTCTGTGAATCAGAATCACAGAAGAGTAGGTGTGCCATATTATCATCATCACAACCATGCAACAACTCCCCCAAAGTTAACAGCCATTAGAAAAAGTAACCAGATGGTGAAGAAAGCCCTTGGCCTCCAATGCTAGTTACCAGTTTTGTGGCCTTTGGTAAGTAACTAATCCTTTTTATGCCCCGATTTCCTATCTGTAAAAGTGAGGATAGTTATAGCATCTCCCTACATAGAATTATTAAGAGAATAAAATTAAACTAAATGAAATGATCAAACAAAAAGATATAGTACCTGGCTTAGAATAAACAATATTTCAAACTATCTTTTAAAATTCTGACTTGTATAATAATTCCCATTTAACAGACTTCCTTAATGAACTTCTCCATGGCATCCTTATAAAAATACTATCAAAAATATTAATAGTAGCTAGTATTTAATGATCACTTATTATATGTTAAAATTGTGCTAAAGGCTTTATAGAGGCTATCTGAACCTTTAGAAATTCCCTGTGAGGTAGATACCATTAAATTCCTATTACAAAAAAGTACACTGGGGCTTAAACTTACTTAAGTAGCATGTCCAAGTTCACAGAACAGTAAGTGGTGAACATGGAACTCATATGGATCTGCTTGGCTTCAGAATCTATGATTATGAGCATTCCCTTATCCTGAGAAGCAACTTCTGTTAAAGTCTACTTACCAGCAAGTTGAGAACAAGCTAATCTTTAATCTTATCCTTTACCTGATGACTCAAGACCTCTAGTTGGAAAAGCAGACATGATTTGTCTTATTTTTGCTTTTTAACTTACCCACTCACAGTCGATTCCAAGTACTGGAATATCTTCTAACCCACTCCTAAGCAAGGGTTCAACTTGATCCCACTCTGCCTCCTGAGACACAGTGACCACCTTTGCTTCCAGGATCCTCTCCTCCCATGAGGCTCTGGGGGCACTGGAAGGCAACTGGTCCACTTCTGGAGGGGGCAACTCGCTCCTGCTTGGAGCTTGCTGCTGCTGCTGCTGTTGCTGCTGCTGCTGGTGTTGCTGCAGCTGGTGCTGCTGCTGCTGCCGCCACCAGGCTCCACGGCTGCTCCTACTCCTCCGGCGCTGGATGCCTTTCCACAGGACAAATGCCCCCACTGCCGCACCAAGAAGAGTAGTCACTGTCAAAGCCACCAAGTGTCTAGACATCTTCAACTTTGCTACTGTTTAGGAAAGCATATCACTAATCCCACAATCTGCAAAACAAATGGTAACAATAATTTTACACACAGAGTTTAAGCCTATATGGAAAGACGTTTCCACTAAAGCTTGGGGGTTGTTCCACTTACAATCCATGTGCCCACAAATTAAAAAATTGTTACAAATTTTGATATGAAACAGTTGTATTTTAATCTTTTCACTTTTTTACATTCTCTACTTCATCTCTATCTCCATTCTCTCCTAAGAAAACCCTCCTGCCCTCTACCAGTTTCCCAGGGCTCTCTTAAGCATATAAAATCATATATATTAAAACAGAATAAGCTAGCCCAGCCAGCATGGCTCAGTGGTTGATTCCCGGTCAGGGCACAAGCCTGGGTTGCAGGCTCAATCTCCAGTATGGGTCATGCAGGAGGCTTCTGATCAATGATTCTTTCTCATCATTGATGTTTCTATCTCTCTCTTCCTCTCTCAAATCAATAAAAATATATTTTAAAAAATAAAACAGAATTAAGCTATATGCTGGCTTTCACTTACTGATATGTTATTGAATAAATTTTTGCTAATGGACCTTCTTCAAGGTGTTTGCACTTTAAACCTTCAATCTCTAACAAGAATTGAGTGGAAATTTCTGCTTCAATAAAAATCTAATCATTAGCAAGTTGGTGGGAAGATTTTTTTACTTTTCTGCAAGGTGTAGGTAGTGGGAGAATGAAGCAAACGGGCTTGAGAAAACATGGATCTTCTTGCACCAGAAATCTCAGTAGTTCTCCATAGAAACAGACTCGGATATTGAGGGTAAGCTAGGGCAGTACAAAGGAACGAGGGGCCTCCAAAAGGAATAGGACAGAACCTTGAGAGAGTTCCAAGATGCTCAGGAGGAGGTTGCATATTGAAATGTCCACAGGGTCAAGACAGGAGAATATACATAAGTAAAGCAAGCCAAGTGAAAGAAAATGGACACAGACACCCTGTTAAATAGTCACCTACTGCATAACAACATTTTGGTCAATGATGAACTGTACATACAACGGTGGTCCCTCCTATACTAATAAAAGCGTAATATGCTAATTAGACTGGACATCCTTCCGGGCAAAGCCAAGGTGGCAGGGGCCGAGGTATAGGCAGTTAGGGGTGATCAGGCTGGCAGAGGAACAGTTAGGGGGCGATCAGGTTGGCAAGCAGAGGCAGTTGGGGCAATGAGGCAGGCAGGCAGGCAAGCGGTTAGGAGCCAGTGGTCCTGGATTGCGAGAGGGACATCCCGCGAGAGGTCCCAGATTGGAGAGGGTACAGGTCGGGCTGAGGGACCCCCCGCCCTGCAGGAATTTCGTGCACCGGGCCTCTAATAAAATTATAATTTAAAATTCCTATTGTCGGTGGATAGGAATGAAGAGAGCCTTTAGATAGTTCTATATTAGAAAATACAATAAGTATAAATAAAATAAAATAAAATTCCTATTGTCTAGTGCAGTAGTCAGCAAAACTGTGGCTTGCGAGCCACATGCGGCTCTTTGACCCCTTGAGTGTGGCTCTTCCACAAAATACCTCGTGCGGGCGCACACATACAGTGAGATTGAAACTTTGTGGCCCATGCACAGAAGTCGGTATTTTGTGGAAGAGCCACATTCAAGGGGCCAAAGAGCCGCATGTGGCTCACGAGCCGCAGTTTGCCGACTACTGGTCTAGTGACATTGTTGCTGTCATAATGTCATAGCACAATGCATGGCTCACGTGTTGTGGTGACACTGGTGTAAACAAACCTGCTGCACTGCCAGTTGTAGAAAAGTACAGCACATACAATCACGTACAGTACATAATACTTGATAACAAAGGACTATGCTACTGGTTTTTGTATTTACTACATAATACATTTTGTTGCTATTTTAGACTATTCTCTACTTATTAAAAAAAGTTTGCTATAAAACAGTGTGTCGTTATGCCAGTAGCAGCCTTATACATCTCGTGTTTACTCTGTCTCTCAATGGCCATCATTTCGTCTTGTGCTTGATTTAATCTAGTGTTGTTTTGTACAGTAACATACTGTACAGATTTGTAATCTATGAATAATAGACTCTACCATATAGCATAGGTATGTAATAGGCTATACCAGTGGTTGGCAAACTCATTAGTCAACAGAGCCAAATATCAACACTACAACGATTGAAATTTCTTTTGAGAGCCAAAATTTTTAAACTTAAACTATATAGGTAGGTACATTGTTATTAACTTAATTAGGGTACTCCTAAGGCTTAGGAAGAGCCACACTCAAGGAGCCAAAGAGCCGCATGGGGATCGCGAGCCACAGTTTGCTGACCACAGCTATCATTCCTTATTCAATAGGGAATGGTAGCCAGAAAATACAAAATACACATGTAAAAGATTGATATACAGTGGGGCCTTGACTTACGAGTTTAATTTGTTCCATGACAGAGCTCGTAACTCGAATTACTCGTATGTCAAATCTTAAAGGTGACGAGTGATACACGTGATGCTGGGCTGATGTTGTGGTGTTCACTGTGACGTTCGCTGCGCCAACTAGCGGTGGGGTATCTGAAGCTGGCTCATAACCCGAATTTTAGCTCGCAACTCAAAGCAAAAAATCGGCCAAAAGACGGCTTGTATCTCGAAAAACTCATTAGTCGGGACACTCGTAAGTCAAGGCCCCACTGTATTTAAACATAAAATTTAAAGCTTTGGTTCAACAAAGATGCCACATGGCTAAAGACAAGCAACAACTTTTCTTTTTTAAAATAAGTTTCTTTTTTAAATATGTTTTTATTTAGCTCTAGCTGGTTTGGTTCAGTGGATAGAGTGTCGGCCTGCAGATGGATTGGCTGCCTCTTGCACGCCCACTACTGGGGATTGAGCCCAGAATCCCAGCATGTGCCCTGACCAGGAATTGAACCAGCAACGTCCTGGTGCATGGGATGACCTCAATCAATTGAGCCACATGGGCTGGGCAAGACAAACAACTTTAAGAAGCACTACGTTGGGGCCGAAACCGGTTTGGCTCAGTGGATAGAGCGTCAGCCTGCGGACTGAAAGGTCCCAGGTTCGATTCCGGTCAAGGGCATGTACCTGGGTTGCGGGCACATCCCCAGTAGGAGATGTGCAGGAGGCAGCTGATCGATGTTTCTCTCTCATCAATGTTTCTAACTCTCTATCTCTCTCCCTTCCTCTCTGTAAAAAATCAATAAGATATATTAAAAAAAAAAAAAAGAAGCACTACATTGGAGATGAATATTTAAAACATATATAAATGACAAAAAGATGACTATCCAGAATACATAAAAACATTACTATCCTATCTAATAATAGACAAACATGGTAATTAACCGTACCTCCAACACGCTGCCCATTGGCTAATCAGGGTGATATGCAAATTAACTGCCAGCCAAGATGGCGGCTG